TCTCCATCTCAAATATTTAGTCTATTTGTGCCTGACCTGTGACACAATCTTCTGAGCTCATATTGAACTGATCAGTCATAGCAGAATACACTGTACCCTGACTCCAACATCATAATGTCATGGGTCCTCTTCCAGAAAAAAAAAAGATGAACAACAACATTGTTTTCTTGGCTTGGCTTCCTTCACTCTATATCAATTCATGTAGATCTTCCCACTCTTTTCTGTATTCATCACGTACATCATTTTGTGCAGCACAGTAGTATTCAATTACATTCATGTACCACAATTTCTTTAGCCATTTTTTATGTATGTGGGGACTTTCTTTTTATTGATATCTTCCTTCCTTATTTGTTAATGTATGTACAGTAGGAGATGGAGTTAATAACCGCACAAAGGTATATATTTTTTCTAGTAAGAGATGGTTTAGGATTATGAAGTTTTGGATAACTATACTTGCTTAACTAGCTACCTTGGCATGAACATGATCCTGATTATTTGATAGGTTAAGATGTATAAGGGTTTAAGGGAAATAGAGATACTACAAGAAATACGTTTAAAAACCAAAGACATGTAGAGAATATAAAGCAAGGAAGATATCAATTAAAAAAAAGTCCCCACATACATAAAAAATGGCTAAAGAAATTGTGGTACATGAATATAATCATGTATACAATGTTTTAGAGAACTTTATGAGCTATAAATGCAGTGAAAACTTACTACGTGATGTTAAATGAAGTACAGTACATAAAAGATTCTAAATATAACTGATTTTAAGTAACTTTTCAGGTATGTTACTAAGCTTGTATCGACCAAGCATGAAGTCAAAAACACTATTATATTTTCAGTTTGTTTTTTTTGTTTGTTGGTTCTTTTTTTTTTTTTTTAGGCAATTGGGGTTAAGTGACTTGCCCAGGGTCACACAGCTAGTGTCAAGTGTTTCGTCTGAGGTCAGATTTGAACTCAGGTCCTCCTGACTTCAGGGCTGGTGCTCTATCCACTGCCCCACCTAGCTGCCCCAACACTATTATATTTTCAACTGAAATTGTTTTGTTTTGTTTTTTTGTTTGTTTTTTGTTTGTTTTTTGTTTTTGTAAGGCAATTGAGGTTAAGTGACTTGCCCAGGGTCACACAGCTAGTAAGTGTCAAGTGTTTGGTCTGAGGCTGGATTTGAACTCAGATCCTCCTGACTTCAGGGCCGGTGCTCCATCCACTGTGCCACCTAGCTGCCCCTGAAATTGTTTTGTAACACAAAAAACTTCAATCAGTTTACCATTCTTCCTATAATCCTTATCATTCCTAAGCTTTTTAGGGTTTTCTTTTGTTTGCTAATTCACATACATGTACATATATTACTTTCAAAATTTTCTTACTTTAAAATAAACACCTAGTTCGGTGTTTGTAAGCTTCTGGATCTATAATAACTCATTACAGTCTTCCTTTGTTTACTCCTGTCTCCAGTCTTAGGTTTTTGAGTAGGACTTTATGCCACTTAGGGTTTTTCCTTGGTATGGTAGTCAACCCTGACTGGTCTCCACCTAAGTCACTTGCCATGACCTCCCATTCTTCGGGTATGTTTGCGCTCAGATTAACAATAGGAATTTTAGATTCCTCTAGATCTTCTAGAGTTTCAGAGCCCTGGATCACAGGGCCTAATGTCATCTCAAGCCAGAGTGTGATGAACAGTGCCATGAACATTAACACAGGTATCTGGACATGACTATTTCCATTCCCTTCTGGTTCCTAACACTCTCAGATACCTCTAAGGCCCCTGAACTATGAGTGTTGAACCACCATGAGGTTTCTTCATCAGAGCCTGGATATATTGTCACAGGATTCAGGGGTCCCCAAACAGTCATTGGTCCACATTGGGAGGCATTTACCTGTGTGGTTCAGCTTCTCTAGTAGGACTCTTAATAGCTATGTGACCCTTGGCAAGTCACTTAACCTTTATGCCTCAGTTTCCTCAACTGTAAAATAGGGATAACAGTATCAACCTACAGTTATAGCAAGGTTCAAATGAGATATTTGTAAAGCACTTAGGACAGTGCCAGGCACCTAGTAAGTATTTAATAAATGCTTATTCCATTCCTTTATTTGGATTTCTGGCTGACTTTTGTGCAGTTCTGAGATGGTTACTATACTTTCTCTTTGGACAACTGATCATTATTTGAGATGGTACAATTTTTAGGTTTGAACTGGGGTAAGTGTAAGAGGCAGGCTGCTGGCCATCTTAACTTGAAGTCCTTGCTGTTCACTTATTCTTCGTCTGTGGAATAGCAGAGACTTCAAGTAGAGTAGCATTAGAAACTCATCTACTATTCCAGTGCCACAAATGATCTAACCACAACTTTCTCCTGCAATTCTTTGGTGACTAAAGGATTAATCAGGAAGTTGGCCAGTACTCCCTTGGATATATGCAGACACTTGGAATGGATGAAATTGCCTGGGATTTCTCTTGCTGGTATGTTTCATTAAATGTTCTTTTTTTTGAATTCATGTGTAACATGACATGTTACAGAATTACATTGACAAAGGCTCAGTTGTGGATCTGAAGAAATTTAACAACATTCAAGCCCAAAAGCAATATGAAACTTAATGGATGGTAGTGAAACTTCTACAGTTGAGCTACATCGTGCCACAATTGCAGGGGGTTATTTGAAGAAAAGGAAGGGCAGTTACTATTTCTATTAGATTTAATTTGGCTGACTGATTTCTGTGCCTTTTGGTAGTTTGTATTCACAGAAAGGTTTTTTTCCAAAGCTGCACTTTCTGCATTTTCCCTACAAGAAACTTCCCTTTTTGTAGGTGCATCTATTCATTCTCTATGCAGGTCCAGTGACTGGCAAGGAAGATAATTTGGGGAGTGTGTTTCCCTATAGGACACTTCTTTGCATGTGCAGTATCTTTTGGCCATATGTGACAAGAGGTCAGTGTTCTTTGAAAAACTTAGTCTGTGAGGAGGCCATTTAGAGACAGGCTCAGCTCTATTTCTAATACAGCCTTTGTACTGGTATTCTGCCTCCTCACTTTAAAATCATGTTTATCTCTGGCCTAAAATTTCTATAAACATGAAATGTGAGTTATTCCTCTGTAGAAAGTTCAGGAACTACATGTCATTACCACCAAAGTAATGTCTCAGCTTATTCATTCACAATGGCCTCAGTAAGCCAAGTTATAGTATCCCTGCTCCCATGTAGATCTACCGGAATATCAATGCCTTTCTTTAAAAGCCAAGAGTTTTGTGTCATAGAATTCTTTGGCAGGCTGGTGAAGCCTATGGACCCCTTCTTTGAATAATGATTTTGAATGCATAAAATAAAATACAAAGATTACAAAGAAAAATTACAGTATATTGAAATATTTCATGGACCCCAGGTTAAGAACTCCTGCTCTAAAGTGGAATTTCTTAAACTGTGGGTTGCGATCTCATACCGAGTCGTATAACTGAATATGGTAGTTGCAAAAAATTTGTCAAGAGTAAAAGTTTTCTGAACACACAATGACCAAAACTTAATTCAAAATCAAATGCTTAATGAATCTGCAGTGTTTCTGGCAGCTCTTGCCAGTGTTTCATTGCACAACTTCACTGCAGCCTTAATTCTGAACAAACAGCATGTACACTTTGCATTGCGCATGCCATCACACCATGCAACGCCAACAAATGCTGCCAGAAACACCTTGGTTTAGATTCAAAATTATTTTATGTTATGAATTGCAGTGCTCTTACTGGACATACAAAACCATTAAATGAATTTTGGCTTGGGATTAGGACAGAATTTCTAACAATTCTTAAAATGGCATTAAACATGCTTCTGCCATTTTGTACTATGTATTTATGCAAAGTGGTGTTCTTAGCATTGATGATTATAAAATCAAAACATCGATCAACTCTGAAAAAGTTGAAGATGCTCTACATCCTGCAGCATCAAATATTCTGCCAAGATTTAATTCTTTATGTAAAAACAAACACATCCATCTCATTAGTATGCAAATTTGCTTTCATCTTTAATAAATACTAAAATTAAATGTAAAACAGAGCATTGCTTTAAAATAAATTTCTTTATGATTTATTATCAGTAGATGTTTGATTTGTATATCTATTTTACATACCTACAGGCCTAGGGTTGTGTAAAAATTTCTCGGGTGAAAAGGGGTGGAGAGTGGAAAAAGTTTGAGAAGCCCTGCTCTAAAGGATTCCTTCACCAATGTTTTGAGCTTCCACAACACAGCCTCACTCTCTTGTGACAGATTTTTAGGGACAGTCTTAGTGATAGAGGAAATGAGAGGCTTCCTTAGAATGCATATCCCTTTGGTGGAGAAAGGTAAGCTCCCTCTTGGGAAGTTCTCAACCCCTCAGTAAGGCTTGGTTCTTGGGCATTTGGGGGTACCCCTTTCACAACAGGAGTAACAGTGATAGCCAGTACTAGGACAACTACCCTCATTGTTAGCTCATCTTAAAGACTTTCACCAAGTAGAAATCATCCTGAGCTAAGAAAAGGCATTAGTGTTGGGAATTTCCTTTGGAAAGATCTAAGGATTTAAAGGAAAGATGTAACTAGAGACTCGGAAGCCTTGTTTGAACTTGCCATGCAATTGAATGACTTTCTGAAGGACAGGGGAAAGGAGTGAATTTGAGATTAGAAAAAAATGTATTGAGTTTTTGGGGCCTCTGGAGAGTACCAAGTCCATACATATAGGAGCCAAAATTTGGTAGCCCTTAAGAAAGTAACAATTCTGAGCTCGGTGCAGTCTATACTCTAAAAGCATTTAATATCTTCTTCAATCATTTTTCATTCAAACAGGATTTCAATTCAAACCTCTGCCCCATGTGAGGAGGAAAAAATGATGCAATAACTGGCAGTCTATTCATTACTCCTGGCAAAACCCTGAAAATGCAGATTGGGCAGTATCACTGGAGTGGACATTAGTCCTAAATAATCCTTCAAGGAGAGTTAAAAAAAAAAAGCATACTGTGAAGAGAATGCTGAATATGGAAGCAATGAGATGTGTAGGTACAGATTTTATTTGCCCAGAACTGACACTAGGGAAAATAACCAACAGTAACCTTACAGATTTGATAAGTGTTCTTTATAAAGCCCCATGAAGCAAGAAAATTTAAAAATACATTCACATATAAAGTATAGTCTTTGTATTATTACAGACAAGGCAAAGAATGTGGTCTTTGGTTTCATTCACTCTGAATTGGTCTGACTAGAAGCTAGAAGATGAGAGGGAAAAAACAAGGGAGAATATAGAGATTGTTCTTCCTGATTATTGGGATCATCATTAATAACTCAGGAACTTGTAACCCCCCCACCTCCGAGGAAAAAGAGCTATGATCAATGTCTCCCAGCCTGAATACGAATGAAAAAGAAATGAGTGTAAACCCCCTCATATTTCAGAGATTCACAAGGGGGTATGAATATTTTTAAGGAGAAAAGATGTCAATTTAATTTGAAAATGTTACTTCGGAATTTTTCCAGGACTGTTTTGAGAAATGTCCCAGATCCTGTTGGTGCTTTTTCTTTAGGCAGTTTTTTGGTGGTGCTGTTTGCAGGCATTTTTCCTCCTGAGGGCTGGTGTCTTTCAGAGATTCTTCTTTCCCTTGCTTGGTAATCTTTGCTGTAGATAAAATCAAGCCAATAGACTCCTGGAGGGAGTCGATGATTAATAAATGATTCACAGGACACACAGTCTGAGGAAGATGATGATGAAGAGGAGGAAGATGAGGAGGAGGAGGAAAGTGAAGAAGATAGATACTGAGGCAGAAGTCCAGTCATTGTTTTTATATAAAGCAGCCATTTAACACCCTGGAACTGCTGGTTGATACTCTGGGGTTCAATGGCAGGAGTCACGGATTGTATTGCAAAGGTGGGAGCCTGGAATGTAGTAGTAGCCTCAATGAGGATAAGAGCCTCCTGACTCCTCTCTTCCTCAGGTGTGATCACAGGGTCACATTCTTCTGCAGGGGCCTGAGGACTCTGTTCTTCATAGTTAGGATGTGGAAGGCAAGAAATGGAGCTTGGTTTTGGTTGTGGAATTTGGAGAACTAACCTCACACCCATTTCCCCCTCAGAACCAGGCAGAGGTGTGGGTATGGCTACTAATTTTGCTCCATTAGGGTCCTTTCTTCCCTTAACATGAGAACAGCCATATCGGATCCAGGAGGCACAAACTAAGCAGACTGTATAAGATGAAGACAAACGTGGGCCAGGGTGAGGATTAGGATGCCCCCTCATCCACCTCAAGAGAATCTGCTTTCGGATGTCTCTACGGATTCTGCTCTGGGGGATGGAATTGACTATGTTCTTAACAGTTTCATTAGGGATAACCACACCATCCACTATACATGGTTTAAGGTAAAATAAACTCCATGAAGGTTCTTTATTAGGCATGATCTTGGACTGTTTGGGACTTTGCAGAATCATAACCTGGTACTTGGATTTCAGTGGAGCCATGGCCCAATGTTTAAGGTATGATGTTGACCTAGCTTGATGACAGAGGCAGAGTGCTGGGGTAGACATGAACTGGGGATGTTTAGTGAAGGGTAAATGTGCAATCTGGCAGGTATGACTTGATGATATTACTTGGTGGAGTCTTTTCTGAGAGTGCTTGACTTGGGAATACGATGCTTTAATACTTATTAGGCTTCTTAACAAGACCTGGAAGTCCAAAGGCCTCTTTAAGAATCTACTTTGCCAGACTTTTTGACTTCCACCTAGTAATTGTCCTCCTAACACAGGATAATTGCGGCAATAAGATGGTGGATGATAACTTAGCTCTGTTCCCCTGGTTTTGTTGATCAACTTGTCAATAAGCTTCCTCCTGAAGTAGCAAAGAGGGAAAACATTAAGAAGTCAGACTGATAGCTGAACCAAAAGGAGGTAACACATAGTTCCACAGGATATCAGCTGAACCAGAATGTTGTCTGTTCCAGAAACTAACTTGAAAATTCAAATAGAAAATGTTTCATTAATTTTTAACCCAGAAAGAGGAAATTTGATGCTAGAAAGTAATGAGAAAACATTCATTTTGAAAGAAGGATACTATTCATGAGCACACAGGCCAAAAATAAAACCCTATGAGGTCATAGTTCATGTGCACTCTTTCTCATCCATTAACCATATTGGTTTCTATGGTCCATTAACTACACTGGTCCTTGTGAAAACTGGGACCCATTGGAATAAGGCAAGGGAATTTCTACTTTACCTTTCTATCCTTTGATTTAAGGATTGTAGCCTCCAGGTTTTCTCAGCAACACAGGGTAGTCCTGAAAGAGACCAACAGGATGTGAGCTGAAAAGAATTTATTGACTTCTATAGAGGCTGGGTGTGCAAGATCAAAGGTATAAAAGAAACACGAGCAACATGTATAGGGAAGACAACTTGGGAAAAGTGAGAAATGGAATAGGAGGCATTTGAACTATGCCAGACTATGGCTATGGGACTATGACAGAAAATTTATTATACAAGGGCAATGTATCATAAGTCATTGTATAGATAGGGAACCACCATCATCAACTGCCTGCTGGACATCTCCACCTGATATCCCCTGCTCATGTTAAATTCAACAAGTCCAAGACAAAACTCACTTTCTAGGGGCAGCTAGGTGGTGCAGTGGATAGAGCACCAGCCCTGAAGTCAGGAGGACCTGAGTTCAAATCTGGCCTCAGACTAAACACTTGACACTTACTAGCCGTGTGACCCTGGGCAAGTCACTTAATCCCAATTGCCTAAAAAAATTTTAAAAACCACTTTCTTTCTTCTATATATGAAGTAAGATTAGTTCTGAGTCAAACTAGTATGATGAGTTTTGAGATTGGAATGAAACAAGGTACTCATAGAACATCTAAGAGTTAAAAGGACATTTATTTAGCTCTAGGCAAGGGAAGAATATTCAGGATAGAAAAGAAAGCAATTCAGTGAAGATACAGCACTGATGCAGCTAAGCATAGCTTCTCCATACCAATGTTGCTCATACTGGTCTGCTGGCTGGAAGTCTGAGGGAAGAGGCAGGTGATTCCATGTGCCCTGACTTTTGATACCTAGGCTACCCATGAAGCTACATAAAAATAGCCTTAATATTTAGCTCCCTGAGCCAACTAAGTATTGGGTTAAGTGTGGTTTAAGTACAGTTTCAATAAATTATAATATATGCCTAGCCTTCATGGGATAAGGCCCTAGGATATTGCTGCTACCATACTCAAAAACCAACTCTTATTCCTAACTTTCCTCTTTCTGCCATAGGCACAACTATCAAAACCAGTCACCTAAGTTCATAACCTCAAGGTCATGGCTCAACTCTTAACTGAGCTCATCCTCTCTACCCTTATTTGACAAGTATTGTCAATAATACATAACATCTTTGACCTGCTTCCTTTCTTTTATACTCAGCATGACTACCTTAGTTCAGGCTGTCATCATCTCTTACCTGGGCTTCCATAATAGCCTCGCCTTCAGAAGGGACGCCTCCAATATTCAGTCTTTCCTTTTTTAATCTCTCTTTCGTATGATTGTCAAACATTTCTAAAGTAAAGGTCTGGTCAGGGCATTTCCTTACCAAAGAAGCTCTAGTGGTTTCTTAATGCCATTAGGATAACATTTCTAAACTAAACTCTACTCCTTGACAACTTAAAGCCCTTTAGATTTAGCAGTCTACCTTTCAAGACCTATTGAATACTCTGTTACTCCCCTTCATGCACTCTGTATTCTAGCCCAAGTAGTCAGCCTGCTCATGGTTCCTTGTACATGTCATTCCATCCCCCACCTCCCAGCCTTTGCACAAGTTGCACCCCACCCTTCTTAGAACACTTCCCCTCATCATTGTAAGCTCTTCCTTTTACAATCCCTATTTCCCTTCAAGATTAAGCTAAGGTACTACTCTCCTATAGCATATCTTTCCTGGTCCCCTTGATCCCCTTCTGGTAACTTTCTTCCACCTCCAGAAATCACTTTTCTTTATCTATGAAGATGCGGCTTTCCTCAGAAGTATGGATAGTTCATATGAACATTTGGAGTGGAGATGTTTCTAAATCTGCACATCTCACAATTCTTTTGAGCTACTACAAAACCCACTTTGTTTATAGAGCACAGTGCCTTCTTTGATGTGGGTAAGTCATGCTGGAATGTCCTATGCCAGTGTCTCCCAGGTCTCACAACTGGTTCCAAAGTTCTTCAGAGACACCTTGAGAGTGTCCTTGTATTACTTTTTCTGACTGCCATATCAGAACTTGCCTTGTGTGAGTTCTCCACAAAATAGTTTTTTAGGCTAATGTATATTTCACATTCAAACAATGTGGCTAGCCCATCAGAGTTGTGCTCTCTGCAGTAGAGTTTGAATGATTGACAGTTTAGCTTGAGAAATAAAATTCATTGTCTAATGCCTTATCTTGCCAAGTGACCGTCGGAATCTTCCGAAAGACAATTCAAGTGAAAGCAATTCAGTTTCCTGGCATGGTGCTGGTAATGTCATCCAGATTTCACAGGCATACAATGAGGTCCACACAACAGCTCTGAAGATCTTCAGTTTGCTAGACAGCCTAATACCTCTTTTTTGTCCCCACATTTTCCTTCAGAGCCTCCCAAATACTGAGCCAGCTCTGGCAACGCATGCATCAATTTCATCATCTATCTAGACATCCCTGGAAAGTATACTGCTGCCAAGGCAAGTGAGCTTATACATAGCATTCAAGATTTCTCCATTTGCTGTAATCAAAAGTTCCATGTATGGATGGTGTAGTGCTGGCTGGCAGGAGCACTTCTGTTTTCTTGGTGTTGATTGTCAGGCAAAATTAGCACAAGTGGCAGAGAATCGTTCTGTGTATTCTGCTGCATCTCAGCCTCAGAGGCTCCATTGAATGCACAATCATCTACAAACAAAAAGTTGCACATTAACTCTTTTCCACTTTAAGTCTTGGCTTGTAGCCTTCTCAAGTTAAATAATTTACTGTTAGTGCAGTAGCTGATCTTGATGCCATTTTCATCCTTACTGAAGGTGTCTGATGACATTGTGGAAAAATGTGCTAAAAAGCATGGGAACAAGCCCACAGTACTGCTTCACTCCACTGGTGACTGAGAAAGTCAGACAGCATCATTCATTATCCAGAACTCATGCAAGCATGCCATCATGAAACTGGCATACAATACCAATGAACTTCTCTGGGCAACCAAATTTTGACACAATCTTCCACAAGCCCTCATCACTGACAGAATCAAAGGCCTTGGTCAGATCTACAAACATTGTGTACAGACCTGTGTTCTGCTCCTGGCATTTCTCTTGGAGTTGTCAGATAGCAAACATCATATCTACTATTCCTCAGCCCTTTCTAAAACCACACTGGCCCTCTTCCAGGTGAAGGATCAGCTCATTAAGGAGGACTCTTGTAAGAGACCCCCTTGTGGTTATCACAGTATAACCTATTTCCTTTTCCTCCACAGAGATGGACAATGGAGACATCCTTGAACTCCTGGAGGATAACTCCATCTAGCAATATAACCAGACCAAAAAGGATTTCTGTCAGCTTTTGTGTAAGCAGTGGATCTCCTGCCTTGTAAATCTCAGCTGGAATAGAATCTGTACCAGGCACTTTGCCACATGAGAGGAGCCTAATGGCATTCAAAACCTCTTCTTCAGTTGGAAATTTGGCTAGAGAGGGATTGACTTCAATCTGAGATATACAAAGCTTGTTGGTTGGTTGATGAGATCTGCTGAGAACTTCGTGGAAGTGTTCAGCCCATCTCTCCAGCATCATGTCCTTACCACTAATCCATGTGGCTCCATCATCACTAAGTAGTTGAGATGCATCATAGGAGTTTGGCCCATAAATAGCTTTCAAGACATTATAAAAGCACTTTGGATTGTTACTACCAGCATAAACTGAATTTTGTCTGCCTTCTTATTGAGCTCAAAATCCTGCATCTATCTAAGCTTTGCTTACACTTTACCCTTGATGAAGTCACACAGATAATGGTGGCATGGCACTTCCCTTCAAGTGGCAATCACATTGTCACGAGCTGTCATTCACTTTCTTAGGAGGCATGCAATATAAATGTTGCCTCCTTAGAGACAAACTATCCTGCTGTTAAACTCTGTGGAGTTTTCATTTTTCATTTAACAGCTTCTGAATTTCCCCATCATTTTCATCAAACCAGTCTTGATATTTGTAGGTATTCTGAGCCAAATGGGTAAATGTATTGCTCTATATACCAATCTCTGAAAGCTGCCCAGTCCTTTTCTGCTCCACTTTTGCCCATCCTGTGTTGGCTCAGGCTTCCCTCCAAGTTAGCAACAAATTGTTTAGCTAGGAGAACCACTATAATCTGTTGACATTAAGTCTTTTAGTAGTTATCTTGCCTTCAGGCTGCCACTTTTCAGTACATTGTTGGTGAGGATTTCCCAGACTTCACCAAATTTTTCTTTGACCTCATCAGGGTTCTTCATGGTGAGAGCATACACACAAATAATGGTGGCATGGCACTTTCCTACAAGTGGCAATTATGTTGTCATGAGCTGTCATTCACTTCTTAAAAATTTTTTATTTTTTGCCATTCACTTTCTTAGGAGGCATACAAGTTTGTTGACTAGATTTGACTGTGAAACTCCCTATCACTGCAGCCACTCCAGAAAAACAGGTATCCAGCTCTGACTTCAGTGAACTGGCCTTCATTTGCCTACCATGTTTTAATCAGGACTGCTATTTGGATGAGATAGCTACTTTTCACCTTTCAGGTCTACTGGATTTCATGTTGTCCATAAGCATCTGCACATTCCATGTACCCATAGTGAGTGGAATCATCTTCACAAAAGTTTTTGTACATTTTTTTTGTGTTTGGACACAGGGTAGGATCCCCATCTGCTGGAATAAGCAGGCCAGGGTTAGGTTAGGTGAAGTAGATGATTTTTAAGGCACCTTTTCTAGCCCTTTCCCTCATGCTATCAGGAGGTAAACAGTAAGGTCCTTAAAATAGGCTATTCGAGGTGGATTTCAGAAAAACCTGGAAAGACTTACATGGATTGATATAAAGTGAAGTAAACAGAACCAGGAGAATATTGTACACAATAACAGCAACATTACACAATGATCAATTATGAATAACAGCTCTTCTCGGCAATACAATAATCCAAGATGATTCCAAAGTACTCATAATAGAAAATGTTAAACACATACAGAAAAAGAACTGATGTAGTCTGTAGATTGAAGCATACTATTTTTTTTATCTTTTGACATTTTTATTATTTTTATTTTTTCTAATTCTTAATTTATTTTTAGTTTTCAACATTCACTTCCACAAGATTTCGAGTTTCAAATTTTCTCCCTATCTCACCCCTCCCCCACCTCAAGATGGCATGCATTCTGAATGCCCCTTCCCCTAATCTGCTCTCTCTCCCATCACCCCCCCTCTTCTTTTATCCCCTTTCCTCCCTTCTATTTTCCTGTAGAGTAGGATAGATTTCTATACCCCTTTGCCTGTATATCTTATTTCCCAGTTGCATGTAAAAACAATTTTTAACATTTGTTTTTAAAACTTTGGGTTTCAAATTCTTTCCCTTCCTCCTTCCCCACCCACCCTCAGTGAGAAAGCAAGCAACTCAATACAGGTTATACACATGTAGTCACGCAAAACACTTCCATAGTAGTCATGTTGTGAAAAACTAACTATATTTCCCTTTATCCTGCCCCCCGTTTATTCTATTCTCTCTTTTGACCCTGTGTCTCCCCAGAAATGTTTGCTTCTGATTACCCTCTTTCCCAATCTGCCCTGCCTTCTATCATCCCTGCCTCTCTCATCCCCTTCCCCCCTATTTTCCCATAGGGTAAGATACATTTCCACACCCAATTGAGTGTGTATGTTATTCACTCCTTAAGCCAAATCTGATGAGAATAAGATTCACTCATTCCCTCTCACCTTCCCATACTCCCCCTCCATTGTAAAAGCTTTTTCTTATCTGTTTTATGTGAGATAATTTACTCTATTTTACCTTTCCCTTTCTCCTCTCAGCATAATCCTCTCTCATCCCTTAATTTTATTTTTTAGATATCACCCCTTCATTTTCAACTCAGCTTGTGCCATCTATCTATCTATCTATCTATCTATCTATCTATCTATCTATCTATCTATCTATCTATCTATCTATCTATTTTTCCCTCCAACTACCCTAATACTGACAAAGGTCTCATGAGTTACAAATATCATCTTTCCAGAAGCATGCTATTTTCACTTCTGTGTGTGTGTGTGTGTTTTCCCTTTTTGTCTGTTTCTTCTGTCACAAAATGACTAATATGAAAATATTTTTACATGAGTGTGCATATAATAATCATATCAAATTATTTATACTTTTAGGGAGAGTGAAGGGGAAAAAGGAAGGGAGAAAATCTGGAACTCAAAATTAAAAAAAAAAAAGAATGTTAAAAATTGTCTCTACATGTATTGGAAAAAATAAAATACTATTTTTTAAAAGGCTACTCAGGCACCCAAGGGACTGCCAAATCCTGCTGCTGCTTCAGTCTAGTGAGATTACCCTATGCCTTGAAGGGCTGCCTGTGTGCAAAGTTGTGATTATAGCTCCAAGTGTATCTGCACTTGCTGCTTCATCCCTCACCTATTGCCACAGGACTTCAAGGTAGGTAAAAATGGTAAAATGGTATGAGTGATGTCTTTTGACTTGAACATAAATTGGATTTAAGTGAGACAGAGTTATGCAAAGTTGTCAGCCTCGCTCTCTCTTACAGAGTCATCAAAGTCCAGTGGAAAGACTAAAGTCAAGACTGACTGGCAATGGCCTGGGATTCACCGTGGCATCTTTGATATCTGACCAAATCTAAGCACTCCACAGCATCCACTTCTGCCAGCCACCTTTATGGCCATTGGAACAAATTGTTCTTATCTTCCCATCCCATCAGAGGAAGTTTTTACATGCTTGGTGTAGACCTGTTGGTTACCCTGAATCTGGTTTAACCTGTCAGCTACGATGGTTTTACTGGGGAATGCATGCTACAGCTTCTTCGAGCCACAGGTGAGGGTTGGTTGAAAGATAGACGCCAAAGGTGGATGAGAAACCCTGAAAAGGGCTTGGCAACACCTCAAACAAGAAGGGCTAGTCCTCCCTGGATACCTCATACATCCCAGAAGTTATATTAACTCTTTGAGGGCAGAGACTACTTTCATTTAATCCTTTTTTTTTTTTTTTTGGTTAGGCAATGGGGTGAAGTGACTTGTCCAGGGTCTGAGACAGGATTTGAACTCAGGTCCTCCTGAATCCTCCTGAAGCTCTATCCACTGTGCCACCTAGCTGCCCCTACTTTCATTTAATCTTTACCTGGTACCTGAACATAAGGAATGCTTAGTAAACTTTTGCTGAATTGAATTAGACATAGGGGGAAAATGTCCAAGTGGATTTTTAAGTAGCTAGCAAACATAAGATGAGAGAAGAAGCTTTTGAGGCTGAAAACCTGAGTTCTCACCATCAGGCAGTTTCCTTCTTCTTCCTCTCTTCAATGTCCTAGAGATGTTTTCTTCAGGAAGCAAGACCTATTAAAACAAAGGTATAAAGTGTCCAGAGGCCACTTTTAAAGACTAAAGACACTCTTACATCTGGGTTCACTTCCCTGGAGAGTGGTTTTCAACTGCCCCTATTATGCTTCATATCAGTGAGATCCCTGATATCTGTCTTAATGGTGCTTTATAATTATTTTATTTAGCTAAAGCCCAAAACTAGCTAAAACTTGTCAAATGTGAGGTGGGTGAGTACTCAATTTAGAATCACAAGGCCTGACCTTCAAATCCTATCTTTAATTCTTGCCCCTTGGGGGGCAAAGTCACTTAAATTTTTCTGGAGCAGTTTCATTTGTAAAATGAAGAGGTTGACCTCAGAGGTCCCCCCTTTATTGCTGTAATCTAAAATGCTATGATTTTCTCACAATTATCATGTCCTTAATTTCCTTATCTATAAAATAAGTGGCTTAGATTAGATTAACTCTAATATTCTATGATTCCATGGCCAACTGATTACAATAGAACTTTTGTTTTTCTTTTCCTTATTTATGTATTTTATTTTCTTTATTTGTTCCTTATTCAGAGCAAGAAGAAAACAAGGAATTAAAAGGATTACTGCTTGGGAAGAGATACATAGATTAAAAAGAAAATAGAAAGAAAGCAGAATTATTCATCCTCTGTTTTTACAGAATTAATCATCCTTCTTTACTAAAAAAATATTGTTTAAACTGGAGACGGTACATGGGGCATAGTAATGAGGGAACTGAAGTCTAAGTGACCTAGACACAGTAATAGTACATACCTAGCTACTTTAAATGAGTTAAAAGCTGAGACTCTTGTTGTTCTTAGATACTCACAAATATACATGGATGGCCATAAATTACTTGATAAATGACTGGACTCACACAAAAATCAATAAAAGCATTTATTTAATCCTCACTATGTGCCAGCAGCTGTATCAAACACTATAAATACAAAGAAAAGTAAAAATAATCCTTGCTCTCAATGAGTTCAACATTCTAACAAGGTACATGATATAACTAGGTGTGTAAGGTATGATGAGAAGTAAGCTCAGAGAAGACATTAGAAGCTATGAGGACAGGTAAAAGACCTCTTGCAGAAGATAAGATTTGAGCTGAGACCTGAAGAAAGCCCCTGGGAAACCAAGAGACTGAGGTGAGGAGGGAGAGAATTCCACTCAGGGACCTAACCAGTATAAAGTCACATAGAAGGGGATTAGATATATTCTGCTTGGGCCCTGAGGGCAGAACTTGAAGCAATGGCTAGAACTGGTTAAGCAGATTTCAGTTTCTAATGATACAATCTAAAAGCAGTCCAGTTAGCCTCAGGAGATAGTGAACTCCCTATAGGTCTTCAATTCAAGCAAATTTTAGAAGGCTGGTGATATTATAGCACGGGTTCTTAGCCATGAGCAAATTGGACTATCTCTGACTCTCAAGGCTTACTTTAGCTGAGATTCTGTTTCAGCTTGATTTTGATTTCATTGCCTACTTTCTGGTTGTCTACCTTCTCTACTTGATACATGGCTTAATTTTTCAAAATAACCTCAGATTCAGACTTGACTCAGACCTCAAAAGTGTCCTTGTTACACACATTTTAAAAACAAGTGAAGTAAAATAAAGGTTATTTTTAAATTTTTTGATATTGTAAGCCCAGAGGTTCTTATCAGAGCCTGGTCCACGAATTTAAAAAAAATTGTTTTTCAATAACTATTTCAATATACTGTAACTGGTTTCCTTTGTCGAAACAAAATAAAACAGTTCCTATTCAAGGAGTTCACAGTCTAACAGAAAGCAGAGCAATTTGGAGACAGGATGGACAAATCCTAACCTATTCCTCTTCTCCACCCTCTATTTTTATTGAAGGTGCCACCATCCTTCCAGTCATCCAGATTTTCAATAATCAGGAGTCATTTTCAACTCTTTGTTCATCTTCACCACCATTGCTGAGTCAGTTGCAAAGTTTTATTGATTTTACCTTAAAATCTCAGAATCTATTCTCTTTTCTAAAATCAGACTGCCATCCTCATTCAGATTCTCATTATCCCTCCTATTTGTACTATTGCAAAAGACTCCTAATTGGATTTCTGATTTCCAGTCAGTCTCCCTCTTCAATCCATCTACCATAAAACTACAAAAGAATCTTCCCAAAACTTTACCAACAATGTTACTCCCCTTAAGAACCCTCTATGGTTCCTTATACTGCCTCTACGATATAAACTTTTCATTTAAAGTCCTTCAGATTATTATTTTGTTTTTCAGTCTTGGTTAAATGTGTTTTCTTAATGTCATATTCAGGGATGGCAGATTGTAGTATATATACTATACTATGTAGCATATATGCTATACTACTATTTTTATACTATGGTATAAAAAAATACATCAAACACTACTTTAAAGTAATTTTCTTTTTTGGATTGCACATATATCCAATCCATCCATGCATATTTGTTTAGGAGACTCCCAGTAAGAGAAATTCCTCTATATACTAAATTTTGAGTTGCTAGTGGATCACACGACCTAGCATCTCATTGGTGAGATTTGAACCCATCTTCTTAAGTTGGAAGCTGGCTCTCTAATGCCACAGTTGCCTTAAAAAAAAAATACATGAGATTTGATTATCTATAAAGTCCCCTCCTTAAATAATCTAGCTTTCTGTTTATTTGGTTATTTTCTGCCTTCTTCCATTATTGTACACACACACACACACACACACACACACACACACACACACACACACACATATATATATGAAAATGAAGCAAATGAGATAAACAAAACCCATTCCATTCAGAAATAGAGCATTCTCACCAGAGAAGATTATGTTCCAGGACATTGAGAAAACTAGACACACACTTCTTCCTCAGACACCTGTACTAACTGAGACTGAACCCTGTGATGCCATCATATTCGCAGGACCTAAGATCATCCTGACATCATAGAGCTGCCCATTGTCAACTGGCAGTCAAAGTTATCTCTTTCATCTCTGAGGTACCAGTTACTTGAAGCTGACCTTATGCTGCTGGCTCACAAAAAAATACAACAGTTCTATCTCATAGCCACCAATAAGATGGTTTATTAGATGGTCTCCTCAACCCCAGGTTCTGTGGGTTGTTTGTTTGGGTCTTTTTTGAGCAATGCACCAAGTTTCTGAACCTGCTGAGGTACTTTTGGTCCCATCTATGTACATATATTCATAATTAAGCATTTCTCCATGACTTTTATATATATTTAAGGTGAAAAAGGAATGGTCAAAAAGGAAAAAAAATATTATTACATAGAAAATTGAATCCATTTACCTTTGTGTAAACATATGTGTGTGTGTGTGTGTGTGTGTATAGACATCTAGATATATCTAGATATAGATATGGATATGGATATGGGTATAGATATAGATATTGCTAGGTGATATAGCAGATAGAGTGAAGTCAAGAAAACTCATCTTCCTGAGTTCAAATCTGACCTCAGATGCTTACTAGCTGTGTGATCCTGGGCAAATAACTCAACCCTTGTTTGTCTCAGTGTCCCCATCTTTAAAATGAGCTGGAGAAGGAAATGGCAAGTCATTTTAGTGTCTTTGCCAAGAAAACCCCACATGAGGTCATGAAGAGTTGTATATAACTGAAACAACTTGACAACAGCAATACACACACATACACACACATATATTACACACACACATATATTATACTGCCTCTCTCACTCTCTCTCTCTCTCTCATATATATATATATATATATATATATATATATATGCAAAATACTGCCTCTGAAAGATAAGTAGCTATTTCAGTGAAAAAGGTAGATAATATCTATATATCTAGACCTCAATCTAGCTTTATCTATATCTATATCTACATTTAGATATATAGATATAGTGTGTTCTACTGAACGTATTCTACTTCAGCTACACTCCCTTGGTTCTTCTTCCAAACTGCTCCTTTACTTTGTTCACTGCTGACTCCTCCTTTTAGGAAATCCTTTATTTGGATCTCCCCTCCTCACCACCATAGTTGGGATCTTGCTCTTCTTATCCTCTTACTCTACACTCTCTCCCTTGGCAATTTATTCATTCCTATGCCTTCAATTATCACCTTTAGGCAAATGACTTCCAAATTTATATCTCCATTCCTAATATCTCTTCTAAATTCCATACTCATGTTTCCAACTGTTATGGATGTATATACAAGTGTGATTTGTAAACTACAAAGTACTATAAAAATGTAACAACCATTTTTCATGTGAAGTATAAATTGACAGCCTGGACAAAAATTCTTGGTTCAAAGTTTAGAAAACACTTAGTTTATTACTTTCTGAAAATCTCACCCAGCAGGTCCATAGAAGGCAAGAATTCCTAAGAAGCACTGGGAACTCCCTTTGTGAACCCTCTTATTGAAGCACCCTAATTTCAGTGAGCCATATTTATAGACGTTTGTGAGTCACTGAAACCATAAGCTCATGTGCCTAGCCTAAGGCCTTAGAAGAAACAAAGACTATACAACCTTCAGGTTATGATGAGCAGCTAGTTAAATCTAGGATCTCAAAGATATTTAACAACCTTTCTGGTTTTGAAATGCCAAATACTTATTTAACAAGTTAATATATCTCCTAGAAATCTGGTATTGAATTAAAACAGAATGGTTGCTATAACCATGATTTTTGAGTTTTTATACCAATCGATGGGGTGGTGTGGTATTTTGGGACACCATTCCTTCTCCCCCCCAGTATGGCATATCTTTTAAACTAAAGGTACAGATAACTGTCTTCATGTTGTGTTTAATATAATAAGCTCCTTGAAGGCAAAGAATCTTTCAATTTTATCTTTTGACCTCAGTGCCTAGACACTGACCTTGCTTCATAAGCAATTAGTAAATATGTATTGAATTCATTTTTTAACTTGAATGTGTGATTTCCATTTTAGGACTATCAGAGATACCATGAAAGGTCATAAAAACCAGGAAAGGAATTCAGTGATCTTGGTCATTTAGAATATACTCCTACACAGAGTCCTCCTGCTT